AGGATAGACAACGGCGTCGTCAGGGTTTGTCCCATTCCTGAAAAGAAGTCCTAGACACAGGACGAACTCGCATAATCGCACAGGTGACACGACTAGACAGGCAAGGAACAAATAACAAAACGAGTAGACGGACGAACAAACAGGAAACAATGACCCACCTATTCTGGAATCTCTCCCTGGTCCCCTTCTGATCGAGCCTCCAGCTCCAAGGTCAGCCGTGGGGATTCTAAGGAGGCCAGCAGACATCTCCGCCTGGCCTCCACCAGCGACCCACTAGCACGTCCGCCTAGGTCCTAATGCCGGTTCACTAGTTCGGGGCTCCAATCTATACATTCCTTCCCCAGCTCAGCGTCCTATCCAGCAGTCTGCGAAAATCCCGGACGAGCCCCCAAATGTAAGAGTCGAGATTCACAGGGCCGCGGGACAGAGAGACAGAGTCACCGAGGCTGTAATTATCAAAAGCAATTTTATTGTCTAGCTCAAGCTAGGATCCGAGCCCCCAGAGTGCCAGCGCAGTGGCCTCTTCTTTGGGCAGGGACTCCCCCCCCCCTTTTGTACTAGTGAGCCTTTTATACCTAACCTGTTTACATGCTGATCATGCATCCATCCCCACAGTGATTCTTACTTCATCCTGACCCCGATAGGCACCAACCTGTTCCGGGTCCTAGCTGAGAGACTCCGGTTTCCGCGTTCTTTGTCTTTCTTCTCTGCATCCCATAATGTACCCATAATGCCTTTTGGTAAGCAAGCAGTAAAAAGAAGCTGGAAGGTGTCCATTGTCCTAATAGCCCAGTATCTTACATTAGAAAGTCAACTAAAAATATCAGAAATAAAATTAAATCTAAGTTTTTGTTTAGAGACTTGTAGTCGAGTGGCTTCTTTTTTCATTTTTCTTACATGGGTTTTTGTTTAATGGAAACTATTTATGTTTGCACAGCACAAGGTATTTTCCACCATACATATATCTCCTTGCTCAGCTAATATATAAGCAAAATCAGTGTAATGGCTAGTACAACCTCAGCCAGTGAACCAACTGCTTTTGTTGATCTGTGATGAAGGCACCAGTTTGATGTAACCCACAATTTTTCCTGAGGTTATAGGGTGATTTCTCATCATAGGTTCATGGGAAGTGGCACCCCATTAAGGCAAAAGCATTCTAAAATGCATCCAGCCATCTTCTTGATGGATAGGCAGGTAATCAGCAGGTTTCCCCAAAATAGAATCTCCATCTAAAATAGATTGGTGGTCATGCCTGGAGAAAAGTTTGAGGTAAAATGTCCTGCATTGGGTTTCCTTTGAACTACCTATAATCGGAGGGGTGACCAAATATGATAAGAGACATTGCCCTTCAGTTTAGTATCATGGAGGTGGTTAACTGTAGCTGATATGGTTCCTTCCACCAGGGTTAGAAGGAATCATTTTCTGATTATATTTTCAATAAACTTATTTTCTAGGTAGGAGGTCATGATCTTTGATGTCTACATATCCTGGGGGTTTGATAGTAAAACATTCGTTAATTGATTTAATTTTTTCAGTGAGAAGCTTTATAAGTAAGTCCTTTATAAAAAAGATTATCTTTTTTAAGGAGATCTTGTTTATATGCTACTTAATCCAGGTGCATGGACTTTTCTGTTGTTATTTTAAAAAGATAAATCTGATGTTTTCAGAGTGGAGTAGAACATAGGTTAAAGATACCAACACAGGAGTCTTAGGACAGAGAAGATTGAAAGTTTCTTTAAACTTTGTCAGTTGATTTTGAATTCCCCCATTTGCATATTCTATTGCTCTGGAAGACTGAGGGTGATATGCACAATGGAAATGCTGAAAATTTGGCCATAGGTTGCAAATAGGTTGTTTGACCAATGAAAGGCATTTCCCAGTATCTCAGAAACACAGAAGAAAATCCCCAAGAAGGAATAAGAAGAGATTAAAAGTTGTCATAGCTAAAGACATAAGCAACAAAGAAATTTGGTCATTTTCTTTCATTTTTATCAGTTTACTGGAAAGGTGAATGAAATTCTTTCATTACCTTCTAATAATGCTTTATGAAAATCTTGTTAAAATGAGGAAGGCAAATTTCACCCCTGAATTTTATATTATTAGTATTAAAGCTAATTTTAGTATTACCTTATAAATAAATTCATCCAATCTCAATCAGCTTTGACCACACAAGAAAAGATTTCTTTATACCTTTTATAATCTCTTACAATTTTTCTATTCTCTTTCTTCCTCTAACTTTATATGCTGACTCAGTTAATCTATTTTGTTTCCTATTTTATTCTTTCAGTTGAATTCAGGTTTTATTTATCTATTTATTTATTTATTTTGAGACAGAGTCAGTTTGTTGCTGTGGCTAGAGTGCCATGGCATCAGCCTAGCTCACAGCAACCTCAAACTCCTGGGCTCAAGCAATCCTCCTGCCTTGGCCTCCCGAGTAGCTGGGACTACAGGCATGTGCCACCATGCTCGGCTAATTTTTTCTATATATTTTTAGTTGGCCAATTAATTTCTTTCTATTTTTTGTACCGATGGGGTCTCTGTGTTGCTCAGGCTGATTTTAAACTCCCAACCTTTAGCAATCCTCCCGCCTCAGCCTCCCAGAGTGCTAGGATTACAAGGGTGAGCCACGGCATCCAGCCTGAATTCAGGTTTTATTTTTTTATTTTATTTTTTTTTTTTTCTTTAAGTTGTCTTTTTAGGGTGATGAATTCAGGTTTTAGATGTTCTCTAAACTCAGCGAAGTTAATTTTTTACCCGAAATCACATTCTTTTTTTTTTAATGGAAATAAATCTTTTATTGTTGGAGAAATAATTTTAAAGATACCAATTCTTCTGAAATGAAGATATAAATTTAACATAATCCTAGCCAAAATAGCAATACTTTTTGTTTTTCTAAAGCCAGACAAATTGACTTTAAAGTTCACATGGAGAAATAAGGACAGGAAAATCCCCCCAAAATAAGTAGAGGGATACTGCTCATCCCAGATATTAAAACATACTATAAAGCCTATAAAATTAAAACAATGTAGTATTGGTCCATTAATGGACATATCAATGGAACACAAAGAACAGAAATAGTCTCAAACATATATAAAATTTTAGTATATGATTTGAGTGGCATCTCAAATTACTGAGGAAAAAAATGTTTTCAATAAATAGGGTTGGACATCTGAATATTTGGAAAGAAAGAAGCTTGGGTTTATAGTTTATATATCATAATAATCTCCAAATAAATCAGAGATTTAAATGTGAAGAATGAAAGCCCTATAAATACCAGATGAAAAAGTGAGTAAATTTCCTTATAACCTAGAACTGAGGAAAGTCTTTGTATCTCAAAATGCAAATAGTAAAAAGAAAACACTGGTACATTTTGACCACATATAAAAATAAATAACTTTTACATGGCAAACAAGACAAAGCACACCATAAACAAAGTGAAAAAGTAAATTACAAGAGAAATCACATTCTTATTTCTATTTTTTATAATCTTTTACACAAGAAAAGACATCTTATTTTCTTTATACACTCTGCATGTAGAATGGTTTCTGTTCTTTTCTCTAGTTTTAGTTACCATGTGTTAGTAGGAATTGTAAGTATTAGTAACTTTATTTCATTGTGAAAACCTAAGAAGTTGAGAAGTTTAACTGTGGCTCACATGCTAATTTATGAATATGCATTTTATAATTTTTAGAAGCATAGGCTTTTTATTGGAAAATGTTTTAATATGAAAAAGCATATTTACTAACATCTATATATTTTTTACCTCCGAAACAAGAAGCCTAAATTATATATAAGCTTAAACTCATATTTAGTAATTAATGTCTTAGCATTCTATCTTATTTGGAAATGATCTATTTTCAGTGACTATCCATCATTTCATTTAGCTTAGGAAAAGTACCAAAAACAGATGAAAAACATTTTTATGTAATTATAGTATGAAGCATACTTATTTTTATACATTCATTTATAAACTTTTAGTCCATTTATGTCTGTTTTATAGATACGTTGTTAACAATTATGTTTGTATAATCTCATGAGACATTAGACAAATCCAGCCATCATCTCAGGTTGAACTTTTTATCAAGCATTTTTATATTACTCTGTCAGGCAAGTATCATAAAAGCAATGACCTTAAAATTCAGTATATGCATATTTTGCTGATAAGTCAGTAGACATAGTTGTCATTAAACTAACAATATTTAACTAGTGACAAAAATATTTACTCAAGTCACATAAACTTGAAAAATGTTTGGGCTTAGTTGTTTAATTTATGTGCTTTCATTTACCTTTTAGTGAATTTGGAACCACGTAGGTCGTATACAAACAGATGTATAAATGTATACATTCATGTACACACAATATATAACTTAACATATGTACACATGCATGCATCTAAAAGCCAAAGAAAATGAAGAATTAATTGTAGAGGAGAGTAGAACTTTATCTCAGAGAGGAACCTGTCTACCCTTCAAGTCTTAGGGTTCCATGAGGGAAAAGCAGTGTGTTGCCCAAAAAGGTGGAATCTGTGGTGCCTTTTGACTTCACTTGTGAGACTGTTGGGAAATTCAGGCTTCACCCCAGATCTGCTGAATTAAAATCTCCAGTTGATCAAGATCTCCAGCTCCTTGTTGTACACATCAAAGTTTGAGAAGTGCTTTTTAACTCAGCATGACTTTCTATCGGCAATATGTGTACAACTGATCCTGTGTGATGCAAATGTGGCACTGAAAAATGTAAATGTTTGTTGGTGCCTTGAATCTTACAACTTTATCATTGAGAAAAATATAGTATCTATGACTGGTTTTGTGTATCTTATGTCATCCTCTTTCCTCAGAGTTAGAGAATACATTAAACAATATTTGTGTGCTAAAAACTGTCCTTTCAGACAATAGCAGTCACTCATATGAGTGAGAACCAATACTCTCCCTCTGTCACTTCACCTGGAGTCACACTTATAACTCTTCCCACGGCCACGTTGTAAATAAATGTTTTTCTTTCAGGGACCGTTGACATTGAGGGATGTGACCATAGAATTCTCTCCGAGGAGTGGGCATGCCTGGACCCTGCCCAGAAGAATTTGTATAGGGATATGATGTTAGAGAACTTCAGAAACCTGTTCTCCCTGGGTGAGGATAAATTAAATATGCAATTTCTGTTCCACATGAAGGATTTCATATCCTTCCCTTGTAGAATGTTTTTTGGGAGGTCCTCCTTTATATGAAAGAGTTTCATTTCCTTGTTTCTGAGGAAAACTTGGGGATTTGTTAGTATAGGAAAAACTCTTCGGGATGTTTTATGTTGACATTAGTCTTATTAACCTTTCCTGAGCAGATCCATATCCTTCACTCTAAATTATTGGTAATTTTGGAAATGTATCAGCATAAAATATTGTTACACACCCCGTCAAATCCCATTTCCACCATCCATTTTTAATTCAGTAGGACTGGGTATCTAAGGACCCACAAATTTTAAAAAGTTCCTAAATACTCTAAAGATTCTATCATAAAATGATACTTTTTGATTAGTTTTCTGAAATCTTCCTTAATATTTACTCTTCTCTACTGAGCACAGTATTAGGTTGGTAATTCAAGAGTACCAGCAAGAGTGATACAGCTTTTTTCTAATAAAACAGGTCTTGTTGTCTCTAAGCCAGACCTGATCCTCTGTCTGGAGCAAAGGAAAGAACCCCGGAGTGTGAAGAGACATGAGACAGTAGCAGAACACGAAGGTATGTGGAAGTGAGGGAAGGAGATGGCACAGGTGAGAGGTCCAAAGATCAAGGAGGAAGCCAGACCTTAAAACGTGTTTGGGAAACTCTGCTCCAGTGCAAAGGGTTTCTGAGCAGCCTGTGTTTCTTTGTCTTGTTCTCACATATGGGCATCTGTGTTCCTTGTTCTTAAATTATCTAAGGACTTGAGTTTCCCTTCAGTGATCTCCCTTTGAGGTTACAGTGAAAACCCAAGTCTTGTTCATGGCTAATAAGAGACTGCAGGATCTGACTGCTCTTCCACTGCTACTCAGGACATGGGAATATCTATGTATGTTTTGAGAAACTCTATGGTAAACCTTTTTTTTTTTTTTTTAAACAGAGTCTTGCTCTGTTGCCCGGGCTAGAGTGCCATGGCATCAGCCTAGCTGACAGCAACCTCAAACTCCTGGGCTCAAACAATCCTTCTCCCTCAGCTTCCCAAATAGCTGGGACTACAGGCATGCTCCACCATGCCCGGCTAATGTTTTGTATATATATTTTTACTTGGCCAATTAATTTCTTTCTATTTATAGTAGAGATTAGGTCTCGCTCTTGCTCAGGCTGGTTTCAAACTCCTGACCTTGAATGATCCTCCGGTCTTGGACTCCCAGAGTGCTAGGATCACAGGCATGAGCCACCGCACCTGGCCTATACCGTCTTTTAATTTCCCTTTTGCATCATATCTGTGAGTGTAGTGGTGATATTGGTGTGTGGTGTAAAATTTCCAGAACCCCACAATCAGAGGTTGGATGTTTTCTATTTTGTGGTTTCCTATTCTGTGGAAGTATTAAATGTGATTCTCCAGAAATGCATTCTCAGTAACATTATCCAACACTCTTTACCTAAATACAATTAAATAATAATGTTGTTTTACTTCTAAATTCTGTTTCTAATGTGAACTGTGATTAATAATTTAAACTCTGTATGCTCACATTTCTCACCTTTAATATAGTTTAAGGTATTCCCTATATTTCTCAAATACACTGTCATTGGGAAGCTTAGCACATTGTTGAGCATGTGTCAAACTCCCACTTTTTACTTTATTTTTTAATAAGTATTATTTTATGATTTTCTCTTGTTTAGTATGAAGCTCACTGGTAGTCATATTTATATGTGTGTATACATATATACATACACATAAATATGTGTATATATATGTTTGTGTCACTTGGACTTTCTTCACAAAAGTTTTATAACTATGTTATTATTGTATATAACGTAATGATATATGTATACATTGTGAAATGATTGATACCAAAAAGTTAATGAATATATCTAACACTTCTCAATTGTGTTTATTTAGTTGTGAGAACACTTAAGGTCTACTGTGATAGAAAATTTTGGCATAAAAACATTATTATCAGCTACAGTCAAAATGCTGTACATTAGATCCAAAAAACTTATTCATCTTATAACTGAAAGTTTGTATTCTTTGAACAACATCTCCATTTTTCCCCACCTCAGGCCCTGGCAACCGCCTCTGTACTTTCTGCTTCTATGAGTACATCCTTTTAGGTTCCCATGTGAGGGGAGATCATGCAGCATTGGTCTTTCTGTCCCTAGCTTATTTCAGTTACCATAATGTCCTGCAGGTGCATCTATGTTGTTGAAATAGTTGAGACAATTTTGATAACTGAATAATATTCTCTTGTGTATGTATATCATATTTTCTTTGTTCATTCAGGAATCACAAACATTTAGGATGTTTTCATATCTTGGCAATTGTCAGTAATGCTGCACTGAGCATGAGAGCGCAGTTATTTATTTGAGATACCAATTTTATTTCCTTCAGTTATATACACCCAAATGGGATTACTGAATTGTATGGTAGGTTTTTTGAAGAAGGTCCATAATTGTTTTCATCATGAGTCTACCAATTTACAACTCAACAGTGTACACGAGGCCGGGCGCGGTGGCTCAGGTCTGTCATCCTAGCACTCTGGGAGGCCGAGGTGGGCGGATTGCTCAAGGTCAGGAGTTAGAAACCAGCCTGAGTGAGACCCTGTCTCTATTAAAAATTGAAAGAAATTAATTGACCAACTAAAAATATATATAGAAAAAATTAGCTGGGCATGGTGGCGCATGCCTGTAGTCCCAGCTACATGGGAGGCTGAGGCAGTAGGATCTCTTCAGCCCAGGAGTTTGAGGTTGCTGTGAGCTAGGCAGATGCCACGGCACTCACTCTAACCTGGGCAACAAAGTCAGACTCAGTCTCAAAAAAAACCACAAAAAAATAGTGTACAGGATTTATTTTTCTTCACATCCTTGTCAGAACTTGTCTTTTTTTATATATATTAGCTATCCTAACAAGTATAAACTGATGTCATCATAATTTTGATTTGTAATTCTGTGATGATTGGTTATATTGAGCACCTTTTTTCCTACCTATGGACCATTTGTATGTCTTTATTGGGAAATATCTATTATGCCTATCTTCCAATCAGTTATTATGTTCATTATTATTATTACCATTGATTTGTATGAGTTTCTAATATAGTTTGAATATTAACCTCTTATATGGTATATGGTTTGCAAATGTTTTCTCCCATCCTATAAGTATTCTTATTTCATTGTTTGCTCTGCATAAGCTTTTTAGTTTTATGTAGCCCAACTTATTTATATTTGCTTTTGTTTTCGCACATTTAGTGTCATATCCATTACCAGCACCAATATGAAGAAGATTTTTCCTGTTTTCTTTTAAGATTTTTAAGGATTCATGTCCTACATTGGTCTTTAATTTGAGTTAATTTTGTGGGATAATATAAGAAAAATGGTCTTATTTTATTCTTTGCTTGTGGATATCCAGTTTTTAGCACAAATTATTGAAGAGATGTACTTTCTGCATTGTGTATTCTTGTTTCTCTGTCAAAGATTAGTTGACCTTGTATTCACAGGTCTATTCCTGGGCTCTCTATTCTGTTCCACTGGTTTTATCATTTTTAATGTACATAAAATTCTGTTTTATTACTATAGTTTCAAAATATTATTTGAAGTCAGAAAGTATCATGCTCCTATATTTGTTCTTACTCAAGATTACTTTGGCCCCTACCTTCCTTCCCCTGTCCCCTCTCTTCAAAAAAAAAAAAAAAAAAAAAAAAAAAAAAAAAAGATTACTTTGGTTATTCAAAGTCTGTTGAAATTTCATAAAAATTTTAGGATTGTGTTTTTTTATTTTTCTACAAAAATGCCATAGGAATTTTTTAGGTAGTTCATTGAATTTATGGAATATTGAGAGACTCAATTGAATCAATAGGTCACTTTGGATAACATAGTACTTTAACACTATTTATTATTTCACTGTATAAACGGGATATTTTTACATTTATTTGTGTCTTCTATTTCTGTCTTCAATATCTTATATTTTTCAGTATTATCTTTGCCTTTGTGGTTAAATTTATTGCTAAAATTTAATGTTTTGATGCTTTTATAAATAAGATTTTTTCTTTTTTTATTAGTTTGTTAATGTATGGAAGTACTCACATTTGTATGTTAATTTAAGATGTTGCCCACTTACTTTTTTGGTGTATTATTTATGGTTTTCTATATATAAGGTCATGTCATCTATGAACAGTGATGTTTTTACTTCTTTCTATTTGGGCAGCTTTTTTTTTTTTTTTTTTTCATTTTCTTGCCTAATAATTCTGCCTAGGATTTCCAGTACTATGTTAAAATAGAAGCATTAAGAATGGGCATAATAAAACCTGTCATTGGTGTCTGTGCATTGAAGGAGCAAACATCTTTTCCAGCTCATAAGCCAGTTCCAGCATGTAAAGATCTTCCCTTCTCTGGTACCCTTCCCTTGGCTGATGGGATCTCCTCTTGTTTTACTGAAAAGAGGGGTTATAGTTGAGTCACAGTTCTGCTGCCAGATATGCACTGAGGTCTGTCTTTAGTGTGGGCTTCTTAGCAGGGTCTTGTGTAGTTGTGAATCTGTCTCATTCATGAGCCGACTGGATTGCCTTCATGACATTGATCTGTGGGGGAGGCACTTACAGTTGGGTCTGCCTAGGTTGGGCCTGAAATCCAGTGTATAGATGAGTGTGGCTCCCACTGAATAAATGTGGGGTCTTTTCTGGGTCCCTGCATGGGTCCTTATGTGAGCAGGTCTGGCCAAGGACTGTGTCTAAGAGGGATGGAACTGAGTCACAGAACTGCTTCAGAGGCCACAGTGAGTATTAAGTTCTGTAGGACTGTTTTCCACGACCACAAATGGTCATGTCTTCTCAGGTCTCTGGATAGGCAGCACCACTCCCAGGCCATGACTGGGAGAAGTGGGAGGTGCCTACATAGTCACTTCATAACTCTCAGTGGCACCAAGTTGAGTGGGCCAGTTCCTGCTCTCTAGCCAAGACCAGGGTTTCCCAAGTTTGCCACACGAATTAGGGCCTGCCTTCTTAAAATAACCCTCCTGGGTCTAGGGCTTTATCAGGGTTTTACAACCTTCTTTCTGGATGCTAAAGGTCTCATAAAAGCACTTTTTAGATGTGGTCTCATTGTATCACTCAGGCTCATCTTCACTCCACTGAAGTGATCCTCTCACCTGAGCCTCTTAGTAGCTGAAATCACAGGTGTGAGCCACTGTGCTGGGCTGTCATAGAGGCACTTTTCTCATAGGTGGCTGCCAAATGTACGTTGCTGTGGGGGGAGATAAACAAGCAGAGGGCTTTTCTTCTACCATCTTGCTGATTTCACACTCTGTATTTTTTCATTTTCTATTTTGTTCTATATTACACTTTCTATAATTTCCGATTCAAAATTTAGATTAATATTGTAGGATTTTATATTATGCAAGAGGTAAATTAGATAATTAATATGCATCACATGTTTACTTAAAAATTTGAGTTTACTGCAGGCCAAAAGAAATCATTAGAATTGTCATCCACTTTCCTCAACCTATATCAAAATTATAATTTTCCCCAAATGGATACCTTGTGGAATATTATTTGATCATATACATAACAGTTTATTTCTGGACTCTCTATTCTGTTCCATGACCTATTTTTCTTTATGTCTTTACCGCATTGCTTTTTTGTGTACATTTCAAAACATTTTTATATCAGGAAGTTTATTTTCTCTTTGTTCTATTTTTAAAGGATGTTTTGTTAGTCATAAATTCTAAATGAATTTTAGGATTTTAAAAATATTTTTGAAAAGAAAGTATGATTGGGATTTTGATAGAAGTTACATTTAATTTGTCCATTACTGTGGGTAATATTGACATCTAAATGATATCAAATCACCTCCATCTTTACAATAGGAAGTCTTCTAGCTCTTGAACAAGAGCATTCTCAAGAGTGTGTTATTTACTTTCTTTTTATTTGTGAATTAGCTGGGTTTTCTTCTGTTATTTATTTCTAGTTTTATTCCATTTGGGTCATAAATAATAGTGTGTAAGATTTTATATTTTGAAAAGTTTTAAAGAATTGTTTTTTGTCCTAACAGGTGTTCTATCCAAGAGAATGTTTTATGTGCTATTGAGAAGGTTGTGTATTCTGTTGTTGTGTGGAACGTTCTCTGTGTCTATTAGGTATAATTATTTTATATTGCTCTCAAGTTTTCTGTTCCCTTATTAATATTGTATCTTGTGTTATTATTTATTACTAACAGTGGAGTGATGAAGTATCCTACCATTATTTTTTTGTTTTTTGAGACAGAGTCTCACTCTGTTTCTGGGGCTAGAGTGCCGTGGCGTCAGCCTAGCTCACAGAAACCTGACACTCCTGGGCTCAAGCCATCCTCCTGCCTCAGCCTCCCAAGTAGCTGGGACTACAGGCATGCGTCACCATGCCCGGCTATTTTTTAGTTGGCCAGTTAATTTCTTTCTATTTTTAGTAGAGATGGGGTCTTGCTCTTGCTCAGGCTGGCTTCAAACTCTTGACCTTTAGTGATCTACCTTCCTTGGCCTCCCAGAGTGCTAGGATTACAGGTGTGAGCCACTGGGCCCGGCCGTATCCTACCATTATTATATTGCTGTGTATTTCTTGGTATAATTCTGTCAACATTTACTTTGCATATTTGACAACTGTGATTTTACACATACATACATACATATATGTGTGTATATATGTGTGTGTGTGTAGCATATTATATATGAAATATAAAAATAAACCTTAGGGTCTCAGTGAACGAACACCTTTCTTATTATTCAATATCTTTGTCTTTTGTGACAGTTTTTACTTATAGTATATTGTATGAAATAGGAATAGTTTTGCCTCAAAATATGATGTGTCTAATTGTAAATTCTCCTCCTATTTGACTAATATTTGCATAAAATGTCTTTTTTTGTGTTGCCAATTTTAGTCTGTTTTTGTCATTTGATCTAAGGTGAGTCTCTTACAGATAATACATGGTTGGATTTTTTATTTCCTTACATCCCTGTCTTTATTCACTTTATATCTTTTGATTATGAAATTTAGTCCATGAATACTTATATAATTTTCTGAAAGGGAAGGTCTTACTATTCCCATTTTATTATTTTTTTTCATTCTTGTAGCTATAATATTTTGCCTGTCTTTTTCTCTCTTTCTGTCTTCCTTTGCTGCTGATTCAGTTTTGCAGTGGCATGCTTTGAGCCATTCTTATTATTTTAGTGTATCTCTACAGGTATTTTCATTGTGGTTACCACAGTGATTTCACAATACTTTTTATAGTTAAACTGGTAACAACTTAACTTTAGTTGCACATAAAATTTTTTCCTCATTCCACCTGCCCTCAACTTTACTGATGTCACAAGTTATATCTTGTTATATTGTATGCCCATTAACAGTAATTTAGTGTCATTTTCTGTTTTGTCTTCAAATTTTAGAGTATAATATAAAATACTTTCTCTACCATCATTATAATAATACAGAATTTTACTTAATTGTACTTACATATCTTACCCGGATAGTTATTTATTTTCATAATGTTTTTGTGTTGTTTTCTAACATCTTTTTATTTTCAGTGCAAGGGGCTCCTTTGGCATTTCTCACCGGGCGGGTCCAGTGGTGATAATGTTTTTCAGCATCTAGTTATCTTAATAAGTCTTTATTTTTCTTCATTTAAAAGGGAAGTTTTGCTAGATATACTATTTCTACTTTGAAGTTTTCATTCTTTTGGCACTTTGACTGTATCAACCAAGTTTTTTCTGGCATGCAGGTTTTCTGATGATAAAGCCATAGTAATCTAATAGGAGCATGCTCATAAAAGACACATCACTTTTGCTGCTTTCAAGATTCTCCTCCATCTGGTCATCTAGTCTTTCTAAAAAAAAAAAAAAAAAAAAAAAAGATTCTCCTCTTGTGTGTGAGTTTCAAAACTTTGCTTATAATCTGCCTTGTTATGGGTCCCTTGGTGTTTTTCCTTTCTGAAGTCTTTTGAGCTTCTTGGGGTTTTTGTCTTTATTGTTACATTTGAGAATGTCTCAGTCATTTCTTATTGCGTGCTCAGCTAAACAATTTATGTTTTCTTTTATGCTTTTATTTTTTTGTTCATATATTCTTCATTTTTCTGATTCCATTTACTGATCAGTATTCTTCCCATTTCACTCATTAAGCATCATTCAGATGGTTTTTCTTAATTTTTTCAACTAATTTATGCATCTTTATTCCTTTATGGATGTTTATTTTATTGCACTATGTTATCCTGATTTTTTTATATATTGTAATCTATGGTTGAGATTTGAGGATTAACCAAGCTCCCTTTCACAAACTTTATCAAATAGCTTTGTCCTGGGGGACTCTGACACCAATTCACTGTACCAGAGATTCAAGGATCCCCAGATCTCTTCTGAGGATGTTTCTTCTGTGAAATTTTGTTTATTTTCCAGGTAAAGTAATTTTACTACAGTTTTTCTTAAGAGCTTTCCATCATTTGCTACAACTGTTTCTTCTCTGTGGCACTGAAGAAGTCTCTCTGCTGGAATAGCAGTATTTTAGCTTTCATTTCAGCCCACCCAGTCTGTCTTTTAAATGACAGCTACGTTCTTTTCTGCACTCTGTGTTTTAGTTTGTCAAAGGCCCCCAAACACCAGAAAGATAGCCACAGGTGTCATTATTTTCTTTCTCTTTGAGGGAGAAGCTGAGAGATGAAAATTTACTCTATAATATATGCAACATGCTGTATTTTTTTTGAGGCAGAGTCCACTCTGTTGCCCCAGCTAGAGTGCCGTGGCGTTAGCCTAACTCACAGCAACCTTAAACTCCTGGGCTCAAGCAATCCTCCTGCCTCAGCCTCCAGAGTAGCTGGGACTACAGGCATGTGCCACCATGCCCGGCTAATTTTTTCTATATATTTTAGTTGGCCAATTCATTTATTTATGTTTTTAGTAGAGATGCAGTCTCATTCTTGCTCAGGCTGGTTTCCAACTCCTGCTTTTTTGTTTTGTTTTATTTATTTATTTATTTATTTTGAGACAGTCTCTCTTTGTTGCCCTGGCTGGAGTGAGTGCCATGGTGTCAGCCTAGCTCACAGCAACCTCAAACTCCTGGGCTCAAGCAATCCTGCTGCCTCAGCCTCCCGAGTAGCTGGGACTACAGGCATGCGCCACCACGCCCGGCTAATTTTTTTCTATATATATTCGTTGGCCAATTAATTTCTTTCTATTTATAGTAGAGACGGGGTCTTGCTCTTGCTCAGGCTGGTTTTGAACTCCTGACCTTGAGCAATCCGCCCGCCTCGGCCTCCCAGAGTGCTAGGATTACAGGCGTGAGCCACCGCGCCCGGTCTGGTTTCCAACTCCTGACCTTGAGCAATCCTCCCACCTGGGCATCCCAGAGTGCTAGGGTTACAGGCGTGAGCCACCGGGCTGGCGGGGACCTGTCATTCACGCCTCTTTCATCCATATTTGTGATCGTATCTCCTGTCACTCAGGGCCTGGAGGGGAGGGGCCAGGAGTCCTGTCCAATCAGAAGCGCTGTTCTGGGAACTGTCCAATCAGACACCCAGCCGGAAAGGAGGGGGCGGTGTTCCGGGACTGGCGGGGCCTTTGTCTCAGCACAGCTGCAGCTCAGGAGTGAGGCCTCCGTTCTTCTCTGCTTTTCTCTTCAGCTCGGGAGGCCCGGGTGGCTCTGCCGCAGCCTCTGTCACTTTGGGACCTGCAGGCACTGGGAGAGCCGTGGCCCAGATGCCCGGACACCGCAGACGGTGGCAAATGGTGAGTGTGACGCGGGAGCGCCAGAACGCGGAACCGGCTGTGGCGGCTGCCTGCCTCGCCGTCCGCCCCGAGCCTCAGAGTCCGGTCCCCTCGGTCCGCCCATCCCCCGGCGCGGCTCTCCCTCGGTCCGCCATCCCCCGGCGCGGCTCTCCCTCGGCCCCCCATCCCCCGGCGCGGCTCTCCCTCGGCCCCC